TTAATCGGAGACTGTGAGACCGGCCCTAAACCGCTCAGTAGCATTCGAACATGATTGGCTCTTACTTTTAGAACCAACCAATCAACGTATTGTGTTGATAAGACGAACTCAACAGTTGTGTCTGCTGAACGCGGCCAATAATGACAAGAAGAGCAGCAACAGTAGTTGTCGGAACTTGCGAGAGATGGCGAGCAATCGAAAAAAGGACAGATTTCATTTCGTTAGACAGACAGATATAGGGAAAACAAAATTAGAAAGGTTGACATTATCGACATCGAGGAAGTTCGCCAGTCACTGCAGGATCCCCTTAATTTGTCTTTTTTTTAATGCTTTTTTAAAATGCCTTCGTGTAGTGTAACTGGATGCAGGAATAGAAGCGAGAATTCAAAAGAGAGAAAGATTCAATTTTTCACTTTTCCAAAGGACGAAGAAACTGTATTAAAATGGTTGCAAGCTGCCAACAAAAACAAAGTTAACCTAAAAAACGGTACATTATTTTGAATACATATAAATTATAATATTGAGGCATTTTTAATACTTTATTGAAATTCATTTTTGTAGCTCGCATATGCTCTATCCACTTCACACCAAGCTGTTACAGACCAAAGCCAGCTCATTTAGCAAACTGCGAAAATTACTCGCCTAACAGATTACGTACACTAAATGATCATGCAATTCCAACAGAAAATTTACCACCATCCACCAAAATTTACGAAGTGAAGGAAAAAGGAGTACTGAGGAAAGAGCGCAATCAACAGAATATAATAAGTGAAAACAGCAGGTGGGTATTATTATATTATATAAAATGTTTCCTTATTGTAATATGTGAAGATTGCAATAAATTATATTTACAATAATTCCTTTTTTAACAGCTTCAGCGAGTTTGAGACCAATTTGATCGACACTTCAATGGAAATTAAAGCAGAACCATATTTTATGCAATCTCCACAAGAAAATGCTAGGTATGATTTTATGCGTGTTAACAACTTCATTACTGTACAAGAGATTATTGCATGTTTTATATTTCCATCTTTTTATATATTTTAGTTTTATAAGTGCAAGTGACAAAACAATAGTAAATACACAAAGTAATTCACAGACTGTTAAGTCTGAGCAGCTAAGGTAAAATTAATTGTCTAATTATAAAATATTAAACTCAAAAATTATATATATCCTAGTAAACATCAAGTAATTTTCTGGCATGAAAATATTTTATTGCATATTGAAAAATTTTTAAAATAAATATTTTTTTAGCTTTTTCAGTGAGTTTGAGACCAATTTGATGGACACTTCAGTGGAAATTAAAATAGAACCATATTTTATGCAATCTCCACAAGAAAATGATAGGTATGATATGATTTTATTGATTTCATGCGTGTTAACAACTTCATTACTGTACAAGAGATTATTGCATGTTGTTTTATATTTCTATTTTTTAATATTTTTTAGTTTTACAAGTGCAAGTGACAAAACAATGATAAACGCACAAAGTAATTCACAGACCGTTATGTCTGAGGAGCTAAGGTAAACAAAATTAATTGTCTGTATGTTTATAATATATCAGACTTAAAAATATAGATATCCTAGTAAACTTCAAGTAATTTTCTCACAAAAATATTTTATTGCATATTGCAAAATTTTTCAAATAAATAATATTTTTTTAGATATCAAGAAATTCTAAATTTAAAAGAAAAACTAAAAGAAGCAAATAAAGAAATTGATTTACTTAAAAAAAAAGTAGAATGGTTAGAAAGAGAAAAAATAACAATTACGAAACGTGTAATAAAAGAAAATGTCCATAATGTGCTTAAAAAGATATTCACTCCGAAACAAATTGACGTTTTAATAAGTAATGAAAAAAAAGTAAAATGGGGTCCTGAAGACATATCTGCTGCAATAACTTTAAGAAACATGAGCCGAGAAGCATACCGCTTTTTAAAAGAAAAAAACTATCCACTACCAGCATTATCCACACTTAGTAAGTGGAAAAGAAGGAGTTTTATCTCACATTGAAATTAATAAGAAATTAGTGTCTGTTATGTAAAAGACAAACGTTTGTACAAAAAAGTTTCATTTATGTATTGAAACCTGTAATACTAGCGTGTCATGTTTATTTTTACATATTAATTTGCTGTATACTTCAATAATAAGTTTCTTACTGAGCACAACTTCTCGTGTTATTAAAATAAAATGTTCATTATGTATTGACATTGCTGTATTTAAATAAACCTATCTTATATCCATAATATTTTTAAAGTTTCAGAAAATTATTTACTTTTTTGTCATATATCTATATATTGTTCAATTCATACTTCTTTTCCATTTATTTTAATATTTTTTTATACATAATTTTACCATTTTTTTTTTACTTAAAATAGATTATATGAAATAAAATTGCATTATATATAGAACAGAAAAAGAATTTCAATCTGCGAATTTCAATTAAAAAATGCGGTCTTAATTATATTTAATTCTATTTCCACTTCTTGACTATGTAGCTGAAGTTAACAATAAATACATATACATACATACATATATATATATATATATATATATATATATATATATATATATATTTAATTCTATTTGTCTCCTGCTTGTTCGAATACACTCATTGGTTATGAGAAGAATGTGCAAGAGCACATAACACATAACACCTCCTTCCACCATCATTATTATTTCCGGAAGAGCAGAAGGTTGATTGGTTGCAGAAAGATTGGGGTAGTTTCGAGTAAGTTTCGGAACACACCGATATTTCAAAAGTGTAAATCACACACATCCAAGGCTAGCGCTATAAATACTTTAAAGTGTTCGATAAACCAATCAGAATAAAAGAAAATCTACGCTTTAAATCATTTGCTTCCTCCAAGATTCTCAAAAAATTATCAGAGATATCAAGAAAAATATTGATGAAGTTACTCGATTGAAATTCCGACAATCAAAATTTGCTACTCCTAATCCTCAATTCATTCAAGACATCTTTAATTTCAACTTTTTTTCTCGCAACTTTTTATTCTCGAGGAAAAAAAGATAGATAAAAGAAATAAAAAAATAGGAAGAGGATAAAAATTTTAAATGAAATAATGAGGTAGTCTGAAACTATATGCGAAGCAATTGTATGTATGTACATACCTTTTTTTTTAACTGTATCTCAAATATATTTTGTTTAAACAATCAGATGGATATTTTTCAACCAGAACATTATTAGAGAATAAACCTTGCTTTTATTTCCTCTGTGACGTTTACATAAACATTACATTGTACTTTTAGGGTTGTTAACGTTCTTATACCTATAAGACTGCACATTCTTTTGTAACATTTGTATTGATTAAAGTGTAACAGTTTTCTTTCAATAATGTGTATCTTGATTGTGTACAAAAATTTAGAATTTATTTATTTTACATTATCTTATTAATTTATTATTATGTATATTATTGCAAAATAAATACAACATAAAACGAATGTTTTCAAATTATGAAATAAATTTGAAAATGCGATATATACGACTATGACTATTAGTCACATAAGTTTCTAGGAATAAACATTTACTATTTGAAGTTTTAAGCAAGATATGTTTAAAATATAAGTATTAAAATATATGTTATATTTCATAAAATGTATGTTATACAACTTTATAGTTAATTCTTTGCGCCCTTAAAAGAACATTGAAGTCGAGAATCTATGTCACAGCTACTTTACAAAAATTCTTCGCACCAATCGGTGAGACATTGGTAACAATCTGTTGACTGTTTCGAGTTCGCCGAGCACGCATCCTTCATCCATTCTTGAAATAACTCCTTATTCTTCTTTAACACTAAGTACTGCCCTAGAACTACGTATGCCTATATAACAAAAGTCATAATCATTAACTCATGTTCAATAAAGAGGCTCATAAGAAATTGTATAATAATTAATCATACAAAATTGTGTATTATTCTCTTTTGGTTCAATTTAAATTTAAGGGGTTTCCCTAGTGTGACAGGGCCTAAAAATGAATGATTTTTAAAAGGAAAACGACAAAGCCAATTGATGAACAACTTTTCCCACATATTTTACTATATTTCAAGAGTGCATACAAATTTTTTCAAAATTTTATATCTGTTATTGAAACCCGTGCCAGCCATTTTTTTTGGAGCGCCGCGAAAAAACAGTGACCACGATTGCAGCCGTTGTAGTTATCTGAAACAAAAAAGCAAAAGGATTCTTAATCTACTTGAGTGTGGCTATCGTCTGAAGCAGAATCATGAAAAAATATTGAAAATTAACAAAATTATAGCGATTATAATTATTTTCGTCTTTTTTAGCAGACGTTTTTTAGCTATAATTTTTTAAATTTTCAATATTTTTTCATGATTCCCCTTCAGACAATAGCCACACTCAAGTAGATTAAGAATCCTTTTGCTTTTTTGTTTCAGATAACTACAACGGCTGCAATCGTGGTCACTGTTTTTTCGCGGCGCTCCAAAAAAAAATGGCTGGCACGGGCTTCAATAACAGATATAAAATTTTGAAAAAATTTGTATGCACTCTTGAAATATGGTAAAATATGTGGGAAAAGTTGTTCAGCAATTGGCTTTGTCGTTTTCCTTTTAAAAATCATTCATTTTTAGGCCCTGTCACACTAGGGAAGCCCCTTAATTAAATTGAACCAAAAGAGAATAATACACAATTTTGTATGATTAATTATTATACAATTTCTTATGAGCCTCTTTATTGAACATGAGTTAATGATTATGACTTTTGTTATATAGGCATACGTAGTTCTAGGGCAGTACTTAGTGTTAAAGAAGAATAAGGAGTTATTTCAAGAATGGATGAAGGATGCGTGCTCGGCGAACTCGAAACAGTCAACAGATTGTTACCAATGTCTCACCGATTGGTGCGAAGAATTTTTGTAAAGTAGCTGTGACATAGATTCTCGACTTCAATGTTCTTTTAAGGGCGCAAAGAATTAACTATAAAGTTGTATAACATACATTTTATGAAATATAACATATATTTTAATACTTATATTTTAAACATATCTTGCTTAAAACTTCAAATAGTAAATGTTTATTCCTAGAAACTTATGTGACTAATAGTCATAGTCGTATATATCGCATTTTCAAATTTATTTCATAATTTGAAAACATTCGTTTTATGTTGTATTTATTTTGCAATAATATACATAATAATAAATTAATAAGATAATGTAAAATAAGTAAATTCTAAATTTTTGTACACAATCAAGATACACATTATTGAAAGAAAACTGTTACACTTTAATCAATACAAATGTTACAAAAGAATGTGCAGTCTTATAGGTATAAGAACGTTAACAACCCTAAAAGTACAATGTAATGTTTATGTAAACGTCACAGAGGAAATAAAAGCAAGGTTTATTCTCTAATAATGTTCTGGTTGAAAAATATCCATCTGATTGTTTAAACAAAATATATTTGAGATACAGTTAAAAAAAAAGGTATGTACATACATACAATTGCTTCGCATATAGTTTCAGACTACCTCATTATTTCATTTAAAATTTTTATCCTCTTCCTATTTTTTTATTTCTTTTATCTATCTTTTTTTCCTCGAGAATAAAAAGTTGCGAGAAAAAAAGTTGAAATTAAAGATGTCTTGAATGAATTGAGGATTAGGAGTAGCAAATTTTGATTGTCGGAATTTCAATCGAGTAACTTCATCAATATTTTTCTTGATATCTCTGATAATTTTTTGAGAATCTTGGAGGAAGCAAATGATTTAAAGTGTGATTCACACTTTTAAAACATCGGTGTGTTCCGAAACTTACTCGAAACTACCCCAATCTTTCTGCAGCCAATCAACCTTCTGCTCTTCCAGAAATAATAATGATGATGGAAGGAGGTGTTATGTGTTATGTGCTCTTGCACATTCTTCTCATAACCAATGAGTGTATTCGAACAAGCACGAGACAAATAGAATTAAATATATATACACACACACACACACACACACACACACACACACACACACACACACA